TTTTTTTCAAGAGAAAGCAAGTTTGAGATATTAACCTGTCCTTGTATGACAACCTTTTCATCCCAGTAGCCCTCTTCTGAACCCTTTCCAATTCAATGTTCTTTCTAAGGTAAGGAGTCTAAGACTGAACACAGTACTCCAAATGTGGCCTAATCAATGACCTATACAATGAAATTATAACCTCTCAGATTTATATTGAATATTTCTCTAGATAAAAGCTAAAATCCTATTTGCCTTGCCATTAGCAACAGCACATTGCTTGGATGGCTTAAGTGACTGATGAACCAGAACATCACAATCCTTTTCTTTCATAACACTGTTAATGTTATTCCCATCAAAATTATACTCCTAATACAAATTGTGATATCCCACATGCATTACCTTACATTTATTATTATTAAAAGCCATTTGCCATTTATCCACCCAACTCAAAAAATAATCTAAATCCTTATGCAAAACAATAACACCCTCCTCAGAGCAAGGAACTTCCAAAACTTTAATGTTGTCAGCAAACTTAAATAATCTATTGACCATTCCTTCATCTATGTCACTGAAGTAAATCAAAAAGAGCAATAGTCCTAATACTGAGCTCTGAGTTATCTCACTCGTGACATTAATCCAGTTTGGCTGAACTCCATTTATAACAACTCTCTTTTTTCCAACCAGCCAGTTTTCTATCCAATGAACCAACCTATCACCCACATCTACAAAGATAATTTTTTTAACAAGCCTTTAATGTGGCACCTTGTCAAACGCTTTCTGAAACTCCAGATACACCAAATCCACACCCTTTCCCTCATCTATATAAACCGTAACTTCTTCAAAGAAAGTTAAAAGATTTTAAGGCAAGATTTTCTCATAGTAAAACCATGCTAACTGTCCAACAAAAGTTTAAACTTTGTCATATGACTTTGCAAAGCATTTTTTACTAGACCTTCAGAAACTTATATAAGACTAATAGTCCTATAATTACTGGGACAATTCTTCTCACCTCCCTTGAAAAGAGGACTAACATTAGTCAACTTTCAATCTTCTAGCACATACCCATTATTCAAGTATTTAGATAAAATTGTAGCAAGTGGCTCACATATCCAAGCCTTAACCTTTCAAAACCCTTGGGTAAATATTATTTTGCCCAGAAGATTCATCATTTTTAAAACTTCCTAATGTTTTCTTCACAAGCTCATAATTAATGTGATCATCTTATTGACTCGTTTCCATCTAGCAACTGTTCAAGAAGAGGAATATTACTTAAATCTTCAACAGTAAAAACTTAAGAAAAAAGAAGAATTTAACAACCCAGCCAAACCATAATCATAAGATATTAGCCTTCCTGTATCATCCCTCAAAGGCCCTACTCCCACCCGAACATTGTGTTTACCCTTAATGTATTTAAAGAAATCCTTCCAATAAATTTTACATTTTCAGCTAATCTTTTTTTCATATGCTATTTTTATTTCTTAATTTTCTCTTAATCTTCTATATTTCTCAAAATTTCTCATTATTGCAATCAATTTAAACTTCTTATACTTATAATGCTTTTAAATTAAATCTTTATACCCTTTGTGAGCCAACCTGATTTTTTTACTTGCAGCCATCTTTTTTTCTGTAAGTAATATTCCCATATTAAATATTTAAGAATTTATTTGAAAAAAATTTCCACATTTGATTAGTATTTGCAACTAATTCAGTTGCCCAATTCACAGCATATAATTCTTGTCTTAACTAAAATCTCATTATTCCTCATCTCCATAATAGGAAAACATCAAATCTAATTGAGCAATGATCACTTGTATCCAAATGCTCCCCAATTTCTACCCTATTAACCTTTTTTTATTAGAAGTTAATAATAAATCTAAAACCAATTTTTGATGAAAAACCATCTTGAACAGTTTCTAAAAACCTGTCTCCCTTATGATTTGACTCTTACTTTCTCCAATCTCCCATAATTATAACCTCATTAATAGATGAATTCTTCTGTACTCCAATAAAAACAGATCTTAAATTAAGTCTCACTTTATAGCTTAATTCCTAATAGCAAGTCTCTTCAGTCTTTCCAACATGCTGACATCTTTCATGTTGTAAAATGATCTAAACTGCATACAGTACTCTAAATGAGCCTTTATCAAATTTTATATAAGACTACAATGCCCTATTGTAGACTGGATATGAAGATCGAAGCCCACAAAATGGTATGTATGTACTAGTAGAACAGACCTTAATATCTCCAGTATACACCACACAGTATGGGATTTTTGGTTGATCTGAATACCCAATTTTAAACCAAAAATATGTGAATTAAAAACAGATCTTTCTCATAGAGTTGTGTGATTAATGGAATTTGCTAATCAATTAATCATCAGTCTCATTAATCAATTACCATCAACTAAATGACCATTATTTTCATAAGACTTGGACAGTTAGAATAACTCCTAGTCATAATAATTCAAAACATTAATTTTGGTTAGTTGATCACTTTCATGAGTCGTGACACTAATCAACTAAGCTGAACAATATCAAATTAATTGAAACTAACAGTAAAAAAATCATAATGATAATATTTTAGTTACTTAGATAACTGGAACAATCTAGAACAGTAATAACTGGAAACACTAATTTTGATTAGTTGATTATTTTACATGACATTAATTGATGCTCGTAGGTAATTTATTATATTGATTAATCAAGTTAATCTCTCAGCTCTTTTGCCTCAGACCTTGATAATTTGTTAGAAAAAAAAATATTACTAACCTGTAATTTTCTTCCAAGGATTTTACTTATTTGGACAAAATAAAGAGTGTAAACTTAGTGTACTTAGGTTTTCAGATAAGATTAGGTTTGATAAGATGCCACACAAAAGAAAAGATTTTAGGAAAGATTAGTTAACTGGATTTTAAGATAGTTGTAAGAAACATAACTATTAATCAGAACTTCTGAATGAAAGTAAAGGAGAGTCAATCACACTATAACTGCTATATCTAGTGCTGACAAGTTCTTTTACCCAAAACTAGAGCTCTTCAGTTCATCTGCAACATAACAGTGGTTAACACTCTTAATGAATAAATTGGCAAATTTTACTGATAAAACTAAATTCTTTGGTATTTCAAACTGTTTTGAAGATGTTCAGGTGTTATGGAACGACTTGGATCAGTTGGTAACTTGGACCAAAATCCGGCATACGACTTTAATGGTAGGTGCAAAATAATGTATTTGGGTTATCTTAATTTGGTTAACATACTTAATATAGATGATAACCTACTCAATAGTGTGACTAAAGAAAAGGGCCTTGCATGGTAGTGGATAAGTTGCTGAATTCACTGAGAAAGTGCTCTATTACTAGTAAAACTAATAGTATTTTAAGGTGTATTTAGAATTAAAAAAAGGTAGTTATTTTTATATAAAAATCACTCATTACTCCTCACTTGGAATACTGTTTACAGTTTTAGTTTACTTATCTAGGAAGAATACAGACTTATTGTCAAATTTTAGAAAAGGACTACTAGGATAATTCTGGGGATAGAAGGGCTATCTTATTGAAATAGGTTAAGACCTCTCAACATATTTTCTCTTGATAAAACATGGGCAAGAAGTAATCTCATTGAAGTTTACAAAACTATATTGTGAAGACAACAGGACAAGAGCAAACAAGTTGAAGATTCCCCAAAACAGACAAGCAAGGTTCCAATTAAGTTTTATTTTTCTAACATGGTGATTAACATGAAATGAGTTGCCATAAGTAGTAGTGAAGGTCAGCACATTAAAAAGAGTTTAAGAAGTGGTGGATTGATGATTTCCTGAAAAATAAAGGGTGAGTTTAAACTTTTACTCTGCTTAAGGGTGAATATGCAAGATCAGCCATGAAGGACCAGCCATGTTCCTTTGTTTTCTCAATGTTATGTTCATTTTGTCTGATTCTTTACTATAATGTTATGATTTTTAAATACAACCATTGTGAATAGTTTAATAATAATTCCTAATTTTCCACCTAAACAGAACTAAATTGTTCCTGCAAGTAAAAAGACATATTTGTAGACATATTTTTCAAAGTATAGAATGAATTTACAACTCAGTTTATGCAATTTGCAAATCAACCTAGTCTTATCATGCAGTGAAAATAATAAAATCTTACTCTATTACTTAGAATTAATTCCACTGTTTAGGACTAGAGATTTAACTTTGGTGATATATGTTTAATAAAATCAGTATCAGTTAGTTGATTTACAACTGGGATGAAATTTTCTGAGGAAAAAATTGTAACTAAAACCTTACAAAGTTTTCATAAAATAAAATTTTCTACTACAAAAGTTTCAATTATACTACGTTTTGTATTATGTTACATTGTCAATGATGGAGTTTCATTCCTATCAAAAAAAGCATCGAAATGTATATAGTGTTTTCATAGAACTAGATGTCCAATAAAGATTTTACCTATTAGTAGATATACTAAAAGTAAAAGACGACGAGTTTTGCACTAGCCTAGATTATGTCCAAGTCACACAAGTATAAAATGTTATTGATAACAATATCGAATATCTTGTGAAAATTTAAAAAAAAATCATCCTATCATAGTCTTCACTACTATTTACTAATGAAAAGCTCGAAAAGTGCATTTAACTTTTATTATTTTAAAGAGATTTATACTGAAAATATATTGTTTCGTGACAAGGATGGTATTAAAACTGAATAGGGTTAGAAAGCCTTTATTAATATTCTATTACTATTAGTTGAATTATCTACCCCAAAGTTTAATTTTAAATTAAAATACAATTCTTAAACTTAAAATCAAACTTACAAGTTATAACTTATAAATTACAAACTGACAAAGGTAACAATTTTAATTTTGAATACTCTGATTTTGCCACGTTATCATGCTACTTTGTGACTATTTTGAGTTTACTTAACAGAACTTTTCTTTAATTGCAAGGAACGCTGATAAAAAGAGTAATCACAACGTAAAAAATTATTGAAATTTGTGAAAATTATATTTTTCTAAAACCTACCCAGTTTGTCCGATGTGCTACACTGCTCACGCTATCTTCCCTTGACAATCACTCATGATTGTGCGTCAGACTTCAGGGGTTGCTAAAATTAAAAATATTAATTTTGAGTATTTAAACAAAATTATATTTTTATTTTCTTACCGCATTTTTTGTATTGGTAATAGTGAAATGTAACAAGTAAGTTAGTTGTTTAATGTCAGTTTTGGAGGAATATACACGACTGCTTTATCAGGAATTACACGAACATATACGAACAAACCAACACACATATATTGTTATGTATCTGCTCGTTTGTTAATTTACGGTATAATTTTTTCCCGAGGAAATTCAGCGATACAAGTCCTTTTTAATTAAAACTAGTTTATTCTTTCTCCATACAACTTTGTAATACACAGAATTTCCACATTCACTTTAAACTCAACAACCTTTATAATACACGGTATAAATCACAGTGATTCACATACTTTATTTACGGTGCCTACGGTTCGCTTGACTCAATTACCTCGATCTTCAATCTACCTGCATATCTATCTCTCGCTGACTCTATTTTCCGGGCTTATATACTAAAAAAGAGGGCGCCTGGCAAGCACTCGGACATTCGCGGGGTTCCTCGATAAGTCATGATCATTCTAGAAACTCCAGGGCGCATGCTCCCAGCGTCGCGTGACTTCTGCTGTCGTAACACTGGCCCTTCCTTAGTATTATTCGTCCCGAACAATAGCCACTTACATTAAACCAATAATTAATTAACAATAACTTGAT